GAGGGTGTTGTTTAATCCCCTCAGGTCTTTCAAAACAGGGCCAAACGGAGACAAGAAACAGGCCACAAGAGATGGTCCACAAATCCTCTAACCGGGTCCTCTAGGCCGGGGCGGGCCAAGTCCAAATCCAGGCCCCCCACTCCTCACCCGGCTGAGGCCGCTGAAAAGGCCGCAGAGATCACCGGCGCTGCTGGGGAGGTTCCAAAACCGCCGGAAAGATCTCCAACAAGGCCTCCAAGCCGTTGAAACCGGGACGGCCGAAAAGGCCCTCGGATAGGCCACCAAACAGGCCGCCCGGCCATCGCGACCGCCAGAGCTGCCACCACTGGAGGGGCCGTCGAGGCTGCTGGAAGAGCCCTCTGAAGGCCCCAGGCCGCCGGGAAGGCCGAAAACCGTCGTTGAAGGGGCCGTCTGGAGGGGCCATCGAAGCCGCCCACAGAGTTCTTGGCCTGGCCGCCGAGGAGGCCACCAAGTCCACGCGGACCACCAAAGATCGTCAAGGAGGCCCCCGAGGTTGCCAGAGGAGTCTCCGAGTCCGGGAGGGGCTGAGGGGCTGCCTAAAAGCTTTATCTGTTTTGTAAAGATAGTGTGAATCCCAAAGGAAAATCGTCTCTCCCCCCCCCCAGGCAAGTATCTGAAGGCAAACTCAGACATTTATCTGAGTTACTGGGAAGATGATACATCCCACTACAGGTAGTCCTTGACTTATGACCACAACTGAGCCCAAAATTTCTGTTGTTACATGAGACATTTGTTAAGTGAGTTTTGCCCCATTGTACGAACTTTCTTATCTTAGTTGTTAAGTGAATCACGGCAGTTGATAAGTTGTTAAGTGAATCTGGCTTCCCCATTGACTTTGCTTGTCAGAAGATCGCAAAAGTGATCACATGACCTTGGGACACAGCAATGGTCATAAATATGAATCAGTTGCCAATCATCTGAATTTTCTCTCAGACTTTAATCAAATATTCTTTCAAAGTGATAAAATTTCCACAAATCGTATCTGTTGGATTGGTCCTTTGAAGAGATAAGTGGGCCTAGCAGAATAAGAAAGGTCTGAGGAAGAGAGGAAATGTAGAAGAAATCACTCTGATTTTTGTTTTTAAAATATTTCTTCCACATTTTCCCTCTTTCTCAGACCTTTCTTTTTCTGCTAGGCCCACTTATCTCTTCAAAGGACCAATCCAACAGATACGATTTGTGGAAATTTTATCACTTTGAAAGAATATTTGATTAAAGTCTGAGAGAAAAGTATGAGAACTTTCATGTTGCACAGGTACTTTCATTAGGCAGAATGAAAAAAAAAACACCTAATTTCAGCCCAATATTTTTAACAAAGGAAGATCAATGTTTATTTAAAATGCAAATAATTTTATTTCCTGTAGGGACATAACCAGAAAGCTTTTTCTGCTTCACAAAGCTGTATAGATCAAAGCATATCATTCTGGACTAAGTTGCCTGATACTCGTTTAAGGGGACCTCTGAATCTTAGCTCTTTCATCAACTGCTGACTACGAAAGACTGAGCTCATAGATTCCCAAAGTAATATTATTGCTATTATCCTGAGTGCAATTCCCCAATACCCTTGGCAAATTTGGAATAAAGAATCAGTTGCGATGGCAAGCATCCTGGCCTGAATTCAAACATCAGTGTCACATCTCACTGGATCTTTGCACCATCAGCATTGGGCGGCTTCTTCAGACGATCCTTTGATCATAGGTATTTCTGTTTTTCAATCTCATAGGACAGGGGTCTTCAAACTTGGCCCTTTTATGACTTTTGGACCAACTCCCAGAATTCCTCAGCCAGAGTTGAAGTCCACAAGTCATAAAAGGGCCAAGTTTGAAGACCCCTGCCATAGGATGACCTCTTGATGCATCAGGAGCAAATATTTAATTGTATGCTTAAAACCTGAGTAGCTCCATTTCATTCAATTTCTAAACAGTTGGAAATGAAAAATAAGGGACAGTTTAACTCAGGGGTCCCCAACCCCCAGTCCTTGGACCAGTACTGGGCTGCGGCATGCCAGCAACCGGTCCGCACAAACAAGCAAAGCCCCGTTCATGGGATGCAGGCAGCACACAAAACCAGCCCCCCTCCAATCCACAGAAAAACCTTTCTCCACGGAACCGGTCCCTAGTGCTCAAAAGGTTGGGGACCTCTGGTTTAACTATTTAAAGAAAGGTGAGAGTTGGCCATTATTTAGAGCAGGAATGTCTAGGCACCTCCAAACATCTTGGAGTCCCATCAGCTTCATTCAAGAAAGCCATTGGCAAGGAATTGTGGAAAATGAAGTCTAAAATACCTAGCAAACACCAGATTAACTACTATTGATTTAGAGCAGTGGTGGGATTCAAATACGTGAACAACCGGTTCTCTGTGTGGATGCCGCTTCCGGAAGTCCATTCTGGGTCTCAGCAACAAAAAAATTAGCTACCGGTTCTGCCGAAGTGATGCGAACTGGCTGAATCCCACCACTGATTTACAGGCAATGTATGATGAGCATTTACTTCTAGCACAAAGTATTGTTCAGTGAAAGGAATTGAAGACTTCCTTTTCATTGTCCTTGCCTTAGTCATCCTCTTGATGCCTGATGAAGGCCTTTGGGCTTAAAGGTTACACACCCTCTTTTGTTATTTTGATTGCATAATAAAAATATCAACTATGGATTTTGAATTTCCCATGGATCAATCTGACAACAGGAGCCTTTTATTCCCATACCCAAGTGGGTTTTTTTTTTCTGTCTTTGGTTTTGAATACAGCAGGATCATTAGTAAAAACAGAGGTTTATAGTCTATCAGTGACTAACAGTTTATTACTCCATAAGGTTTTATGGATCATAGTTCATGCCATCACTTTTTTACAATGCGATGGCATAGTAACTTATTGGTAACTCCTGTTGACTTGTGTTTACTTCTGAATCCTCCATTTTAGGATTTTACGATGAATCCTTTTAGTTACCTGAAGAAAGCAAAACAGTATAATTTCCACCTTGGAAAAGTGACTCTCTTTTCTTATTGCCAGTGATAGTAAAGGGAGATAAAGACATTTCCAGGTTACCAGTAGACTAAAGGGTACAATTTGGCTCATGAATTAGAGTATGTAGTTCATGGAAATGCCAATTCCCACAATAGCAAGTTTTGAGAGGTCCTTGATGCTCTCTGAGCTTGGCTGTTTTTTTGCAGACATTTCATCATTACCCACGGATGATGTTACTTATTTTGGGTAATGAAACGATTGCAAGAAAACAACTAAGCTCAGAGAGCACCAAGGACCCCACATTTCAACTTGAGCTACAAATATTCTCTATTCCAGGGGTAGGCAACCTTGGCTCTTTTATGACTCGTGGACTTCAACTCCCAGAATCCCTGAGCCAGCATGGCTCAGCATGGAAACCTATTCCTTTCCCCTCAGCATAGCTGGCTCAGGAATTCTGGGAGTTGAAGTCCACGAGTCATAAAAGAGCCAAGGTTGCCTATCCCTGCTCTATTGGTACAGCAAGTTTTGAAATGCATTAACTGAGGGAAGGCCAAAGAAATAGGCAGTACAGCTTGAATCATATTTATTTAGAAGTTAATCTTTTTTAGAGCTTGGGAGAATTTTTTTCTTAGTCAATACATCTGGAATATCCTGAATCTACAGAGAGCCAGTTTGGTCTAGTAATTAAGGTGCTGGCTTAGAAATCAGGAGACCATGAGTTGTAGTGCCACCTTAGGCAGGAAAGCCGCCTGGCTGACTGGCTTAAAAACCAGGAGACTATGAGTTCAAGTCCCACCTTAGGCATGAAAACTGACTGAGTGACTTTAGGCCAATCATCAGGAAACTCTGAGTTCTAGTCTTGCCTTAGTCCTGAAAGTTGGCTGGATAACTTTGGGCCAATCACCAGAGGTCTGTGAGTTGTAGTGCCACCTTAGGCATGAAAGCCGACTAGGTGACTTTGGGCCAATCCCTCTCTTTCTCAGCCCAACCCACATCACAAGGTTGTTGTTGTGGGGAAAATGGGAGCAGGAAGGAGTATTATGTATTTTCACCGCCTTGAGTTACTTATAAGTTAATAAAGGTGGGATAGAAATCTTAATAAATAAATTAACATAAATAACTAAACATAATAACGATAGAGCCATCTGGCTCTTCACTTGCTCTGAACCCTCTCAAATTCTTTTCACCTTCTTTCCTTGAACTTGCTTGGCTGACCACACAGGCACGTGAGTGTGTGCCCTGATCCCCATGCAGCACCCCTGAAAAACTTCAGTGGGCGAGATTCCTTTTATGAACAGCTTAGTAGTGTATTGAGAAGGGAGGAGAACGGACCATCCGAGAGTGTCACTGGGAGGGTGGGGGTGGGGGTGGGGGTTTAAAAAAGAAAATACACAGCCAGACACTTCCTGCTTTCTGGAAGAAAGTTATTTGAACCAAGAACAGTGAATGTCCAGTACTCTCCCAGCTGTGTGAGAAGGCAGATTTTGGGGTGGGTGGGAGAGGGACGGGGGCTCAGGTCCTAGGAACCAGGCCTTCTGAGTTCCTGTGGAGAAGTTTGAAGGAGGGTAGTGATCAAGTGGGAGCTTAACCAGGTTTCTTAGCTCTGAGGGTACAGGAGGGTTAATTCAACTGTTGGTCCCTCCCTTTCTGAAACTGGTTAGACCACTTTCTAGGTGCACTCACCTGGGACACTCCTTCTTTCCACTCCCAGCCTGAATAGTTTGCCTTTCCCGCTGTCCTTTTTCCTCCTCCTCCTCCTCCTCCTCCTCCTCTACTTACTTCCTTTCAACTGGGTTTGTCTGTAAATCTGCCTACTGGCTTATGAAGGACCCCCCCTTTGCAGTTGCCAATTGCCGTTGCAGTCTGTGTTTTGGGAGCCTCGTTTCCTCCCTCTTGAAGGGCTCCCCAACTCCTTTCAAGTAAGTGCACCCACTCAGCAGCTCCAGTCCCATGGTCTCCTCGGGACTGAACCGTTGCCGGCTGGCCCTGGCGTTTGCGGTGTTCATGGACGCTGCGGGCACCGGGGCCCTGTTGACCGGCATCTTTGCTAGACTGAGGCTGCGAGGCCGAGACTTTGGGGATCTGTTAATCTACTCTGGTGCGGTGCTGGTGTTCTTGAGCCTGTTGGGTTGGATTATGTGGTACACGGGCAATATTGAGATAGCCCCTGAAGAGCTGGCAAGGGATTATCATGCCAAGAGAGGGACGCTGGCACGGCTGGCTAGGAAGATCTCACGGACCTGGTCGCGGCGCCAAGGTGGTGGTCTGGCCATGAGGACCGTTTCAAGTAGCCGAGAAGCAGCTTAGAGGTAACATATACTCCCTTTCCCTTACAAAATCACATCAGGATTTCCATAGGAGAGTAACCAGCTTCTCTGTCTAAAGTATGCTTTTTTGATCCTTTTATCAAAAATTGTGTGCCAGTTTCTGCCCATCGACTTCCGTATCAAACTGTCTTACAGCAAGGTGCCTTGGGTTTTTTTTATAGTTCATTAGCAATCCTTTTAATTTTTCATTCACGTTTATTATAAGATAAAATACAAATAGAAACAAAAACTGAGAAAATTAAAACGAACTGCAGAAAGAAGCGAAAAAGAAAAAAAAAAAGTAGCATCTTCCTGCTTTTCAATGCAGTGGAATACAAAAAGGTTACAACTTGAACCTTTTGCTTTGTACTTCTAAAAGTTTCAAGCCATTTTCTATAACAACGAAGTCATGCTAATTGTCAAAACCTAAAATTAGAGTTTCTTTTTCTTTCAGCTTCGAGTACAAAATGCAGAAGTTGTTTCCAAATGGAAACAAAACTAGATAAATTATCTTTAATTAGAACAGTGTCTGCCAACTCTGCCACTTTTACCATCCGTTGTTCCATTGTGGAGTTGTTTGCAATTTTAACATTAATTGGGACTTTTGGAGATTGTGGTTAGTCCAGCTCCCATTCCTGAAATATAAACAGGTCTGTCACATAATCTAGACTAATTTTTTTCTGGGCATGATTTTGTGGTCAGTGCACAAAATAGGGATTGCAATTTACCTTAGTGATTGTAAATATAAAATTATGGGCAGTTCTCGACTTACAACAATTCATTTAGTGACCGTTCAAAGTTACAATGGCACTGAAAAAAGTGAGTTATGACCATATTTCACAAGACCATTGCAGCATCCCCAAGGTCAGTGATCAAAATTCAGACCCTTGGCAACTGGCTCATATTTATGATTGTTGCAATGTCCCAGGATCATATGATCACCTTTTGCAACCTTCCGACAAGCAAAGTCAATGGGGAAGCCAGAATCACTTAACAACTGTGTCACTAGCTTAACAACTGCAGTGATTTATTTAACATGTCATAAAATGGGGCAAAATTCACTTAACAAATGTCTCGCTTAGCAACAGGGGCTCAATTGTGGTGGTAAGTTGAGGACTACCTGTAGTATAGGCAGTGATGGCAAACCTTTTAGAGACAGAATGCCCCAAAACCACCCCCCACTTCTGTCCCCACTCTGCCATGCCCGCTGGACCACCCACCACCTCCACGGCCTGCCACAGATCATCCAGGCAGCCTAGCAGCGCCATGATGGCCACGCCTTCCGCCTGTGCCCTGCAGCATTATCTGCACGCGATAGAGTGCAAGGTCAGAGTCTTGTCCCTGCTGCCCAGCTACCATGTCCTTGGCTGCACAGCATTGCATGGGCCGTGCCCGGGGGCAACTCTCCTCCGGAGCTCTGCTGGTGAGGAGGGAGGCAGGGGAGGAGGCGGGGCTGGGACTACGGTGTGTGTGCCCACAGAGAGGGCTCTGAGTGCCGCCTCTGGCACACGTGCCATAGGTTCGCCACCACTGGTATAGGGTGTTATACACAGGGATAGGATTGGATGAGTAGGGTGACCAGCTACCAATTTTCTGTCCTTGCATGATTTGCTGTTGCTCTCTATCATCCTCACAACATCACAACATCCTCACTGTCACAGACTTCCAATTCATGTCAGCATTTTGTGGAATTGCTCCGAAAGAGCTGGTTTCCATTAGTGTAATTAAAACTGGATTGTGGATCTGACTCTATGAAATTTGTTTCTTTATCTTCCCCTGTACTTTTGTAGTTTTCCATATTCTTTCACTCTACCATGATATTATCCAACTTTCTCATTCATATGTTACCCTGTGGAAGACATTCTCCTTGTCCTCATCCTGTAGAGCTAGAGGCAATGGTAGCTACAGCCCAGCACATCTACAAACCATCATGCTGGAAAGGCTGGGTTTAGAGAGACTGGGGAAAACCTCGGCCTTCAACATCTACTGTATATGAAAGGTCAATGAAAATAATATCTTCTTCAAGTTGAGCTTGATTATGGTTGACTTCAAAGAATATGGCAATTGTCATTGCTCTCTACTGGGTTGATTCTGCAGACTGGATTATAGCTTTGGTTTGTACTGGTGTCTTCTCATCCAGATGCTAGCCAGATCTGAACCAGCTTATATTTTTCAAGGTCATCCAGGATCAACTAGAATGGTCCCAAGAAGCAAGTATATGACAATAACCATATAATTAGAAAGAACCTGCCCAGCATTCAGCCAATGCAATTCTTCTAGATATGCTAATTAAGGTTGCTTTCCTGTTTTTCATGCAGGTTTTTCAATGAACAAAACATGTGTTCATTTGGCTAGCACAGCAATCTCTGCCAGTGATTCTATGCCAGGAACAATATCTTTCTGACTTTTGGCCAACCTGCTGTTGTGAAGAGCTGGGTGGTGCTCATTGGTGTAATACAGTACTGGAAAAGGGGAAGGGCATTATTAGAATAACGGATTTAAAAAAGCAAACATTTGCACAAGCCATTATATGTCAAAAAACAATATCTATATAACTGAATTCACACAACATGTGATGCTGGTTTGCTAACCAAAGGGTATTAAATTATTATGTGATTTGGTTAAATGTCTATGGAGATTCTCAGTCATCCAGGTAATGGTTGCGCCAAAGGTGCTTTTTCAGGAGGCAATTGGACTTTCTTGTTTTTCTTTGAGGACGTTTTGCTTCTCATCTAAGAAGCTTCTTCAGCTCTGACTGGATGGTAGGGAATGGCAGGATACCATATCCGGACTACAATAATAGAAATGATCTCTAGGTGGCAGCAAAGAGAACCATTTTCTCTAGTTCTCTGCTTATCTATTAGTCATCTGGAATTTTTATAGCCTGGATTTGATATAGGTCAGGGGTAGGCAACCTTGGCTCTTTTATGACTCATGAACTTCAACTCCCAGAATTCCTGAGCCAGCCATGCTGAGGGGAAAGGGAGAGGTTTCCAAGCTGAGCCATGCTGGCTCAGGAATTCTGGGAGTTGAAGTCCACGAGTCATAAAAGAGCCAAGGTTGCCTACCCCTGGTATAGGTAATCCTTATTTAACAACCACAGTTGCGACTGGCAAGTTGGCCATTAAGCAAAGTAGTCACTAAGTGAAACTGCAACTATGTTTAATGGCTTTATTTCCTTTGCTTTAGAGACCTGTGAAGGTTGTAAATGTGAGCACTGGTCATAAAATTACTTTTTCACTTTCTTGGTAGCTGCGAATGTACAATAAATGAGACAGTGCAACATAAGGATTACCTGTAATCTTTTACCTGTAAAAATAAAATTAAATAAAACGCTAACCCAAACTTCAAAATGAAATAAAATACTAACCAATTGGCAATGGCTACTAACTGACTGAATAGCACGAATCACATATCAACAAGATCCTAATGTTGTGTATTTGTGTGTCTTTGTGTCTGTATGTCTGTGTATGTCTATTTACATATACATATGCTATATATATATATACATATACTATCCAACTCTTGTTACTGGAATAGAACCCTGGGTTTTATACAGATGAAGATTCCTCAATATGTATATCCCACTATCACCATCACTTCACATGTGTATAGAGAGTCTTCATAGCTTTGCCCTTCAACCTGAGACTCTTCTGACCACATAGAATAGAATATCTTTATTGTATTGTGTATCTCACAACGGAACTAAGTGCTGTCCACAGTACACATTACACACAAGTAAAAACCACAAGTAAAACATACATTATATACACACATCCTTCACATTCTATTCACCATTGTGCTGCCCTTAATATTGCACTTCAGTGTTGCACTATACCAGGGATAGGCAACCTTGACTCTTTTATGACTCGTGGACTTCAACTCCCAGAATTCCTGAGCCAGCATGACTCAGCTTGGAAACTTCTCCCTTTCCCCTCAGCATGGCTGGCTCAGGAATTCTGGGAGTTGAAGTCCACGAGTCATAAAAAGCCAAGATTGCCTACCCCTGCACTATACAGTAGTGCACCAAGGATCTCACAGTTCAACCATGAGCTACAAAGAGTCTCTTCTATCAGTCCTACTTCTCTTTGACCTCGTATCCAGAACATAAACACTGTGGACTGTACTGTATGTACCATGTTCTCAGTCTATTTATAGTCAATCCACCATAGAAGGCAGGTGGGGAGGAGATGAAGGCGTAGAAAGTAAAAGCTATTGTCACAGCAGAAGTGAGAATGAAACTGGACTTCCGCTAGTGGTTCAGCTGGCTACATTCCATTTTTATGCCTCTGTACAACTTGAATAGCACCTCATTTTAAGCTACAAAGAAGGCTAATATCTTCCTTCCTTGCAAAGAGAGGCCCCTTTAGAAATGCAGTTCAAGTCACCCACTATACAGGTAGTACTCAACTTATGACCGCAATCGAACCCAACATTTCAATGTTGCTAAGCGAGATACTTGTTAGGTGAGTTTTGCCCCATTTAACACACTTTCTTGACATAATTGTTAAGTGAATCTATGCAGTTGTTAGTAACATGATAGTTAAGTGAATCTGGCTTTCCCCATTAACTTGGCTTGCCAAAAGGTTGCAAAAGGTGATCACATAACTCTGGGACACTACAACCGTCATAAACGTGAGTCAGTTGCCAAGCTTCTGAATTTTGATCATGTGACCACAGGGGAATGCTGCAACGGTCATAAGTATGAAAAACAGTCATAAGTCACTTTTTTCAGTGCTGTTATGACTTCAAATGGTCAACAAACAAGCTGTTGTAAGTCAAGGACTATGTGTAATTGAGAAGGCAGGGAACAATGCTAATTATGGATGAACTTCTTCATGGCTTCTGCTTCCTTAAACCTGAGTCTGTTCTTTGCCTTCCCTTCAAACAAAGGGCTGATCTCAAGAGTTTCCACAGCTGCAGATTTGTATTTTATTTTTCTAGGCATCCTACTGGATCGGACAAAGGTCCTATATGATTAAGCAGTCTATTTCCTGCAGTGGCCTAGAAGCTGCTGTGAGAGCTCAGTCCTCTCTTTTATTACTTCCCTCACTGCTTTTGTTTATCTTTCAGCATCTTCATTAAACTTTTAATGCCACATATTCAGAGACAGGCCACAGATATCATTTTTCATGTCTGGGTGAAACTGGAGACTTCCTCCTTTTGCTGTGCTTTGGATGGCCTTTACTTGCAAATGAAATCTCCTTCGCTACATCTGCATCAGAGGTCCCCCAACCCCACCCCTGGGCCGTGGCCCATTCGGAACTGGGCTGCACAAGTGGTTGGACGACACACATGCAGCTCGACTTACACAAACAGCGGGCTGTTCCCCTCTCCCCCCCCCAGCTGGGCTGCCAAGCCATAAAGGTTGGGGACCGCTGATCTACATCATCTCCAACTATTTTGATTCCGCACACCGCCGGCGGCAGTGGTTGTGGTGGTGGTGGGGAAATAGTTTTGCGCATGCAACCTGAATCCCACACAATCACAAATGATGCTCATCCGCCATTTCTGTGGCCTGGTAGAGGTCCACAGCCCAGGTTGAGGAGCCCTGATCTACAAGACTACTCTGTGTAATATTGTTTTTCCTGCCTGATTGGAATGGATAGAAATGCGCTTGATGTGGTACACTGGGGGGGGAGGGGAGGACGGTCTTAAGGTTTCAGGGCCCTGATAGAAAATTTTTCTATTTCTAAAAACATTTCATTCCAGAATGAATGTGATTCCAGAATGAATGTCGCTCTAAATCCTATGTATTGTATGTGTCCCTACAACATATCCGTGCATTTTCCTTATACTATACATACATGCATGTTTCGCTATCCAGAGGTGAATTCATTAATGTACTTAACATCTCTCTCTACCCCCTCTCTCTTTCTCTCCCCCGTTTCTCTCTCTCTCTCCCATCTCTCCCCCCCCCTCTCTCTCTCTCTCTGTGTGTGTGTGTGTGTGTGTGTACAATCTGTCTGTAACACTAAAGAAAATGTAACAGATCCAAATTGCTCCTTTTTTGCTGTCAGCAGATATGGATTGAAAAAACAGATCTATAATAATAATAACAACAACAACATTGGAAGGGACCTTGGAGGTCATCTAGTCCAACCCCCTCCTCAGGCAGGAAACCCTATACCATTTTAGACAAATGGTTGTCCAATCTCTTCTTAAAAACTTCCAGTGTTGGAGCATTCACAGCTTCTGGAGGCAGAACTGATCAACTCCTAGATGGCAACAAAGGGAGAGAGAATTTCACACACGAACACACACACACACACACACACACACGATTGCTATTTGGGCACTCAGCAACCAGCTCTCATTCATGGCCAATTCAGAAACTAATCAAGAAGAAAAGCAATCTAGAACAAAGGACAGTTAGAACAATTAATCAGTGGAACAACTTTCCTCCAAGAAGTTGTTGGAACACTGGATGTTTTTGAGAAGAGATTGGACAACCATTTGTCTAAAATGGTGTAGGGTTTTCTGCTCCCCTCCAAGCTCCCCTCAACTCTCTTTTTCTGTGGTATCCCAGGGTCACAAGACTGTAATTTTTTTGGTGTGTTTTGCTGGTGTTCAACATTTACTTCCGATTTCCATCCCCCAAAAAACCTATCTCAGAAAACGGGCTTGCTTAACAATTGCATTTATCTAACAACATGGTGTTCACTTAAAAAGGTGCAAAAAAAAGTCAGATGCAATCGATCACTTGGTGACCTGCTTAATGAACACCACAACTGACAACTGTAATTCTGGGCTTAATTACAGTCGTAAGTTGAGGAGGACATTTCCAGCATCTCCTGGAACAAAATCATTTGCCTAGACATGTCAATATGTTATATAACCTGAATTCCGGGTCTTTCCCATTCTTTCCACAAGAAACCGGACGTGGGGCATTATCTGAGCTCCACTTGTCCCTTAAAGGGATCGCCTCTTTCCTCCTGATCTGCCTTAAGTTGCAGGGCTTGAAAATTGCTGACTCTTTCCTCTCTTATCCCAACTTACTCATTGTTCCCTTCAGTATGATGGTAAATGAGTATTTGTAACAAGCTTGTGGTTAACTCTTTTTTTTTTGTGCTCTACCTGCAGGATGGATTTAGCTGGACAAAGTTCTTCTAAAACTGGACGTCACTGAGAAAAGCATGTGACTCTTCAGTCACTACCCTGGAACTCCTGCCCATATCCACGTAGTATCTTGTGATATTCTTGTTGTATAGTATTGGGTGAATTTTGCTGTCCCTGTTTCTAAATATATACATATATATACAGTATCTATTTTTTTTTTCAGAACCAGGTGTGGTATTATTATTATTACTTTTCCTTTTACTACTACAAGTAGTCCTCAACTTATGACCACAACTGAGCCCAAAACTTCTCTTGTTAAGTGAGACAGTTGTTAAATGAGTTTTGCCCCATTTTACCACCTTCCTTGCCACAGTTGCTAAGTGAATCACTGCAGTTGATAAGTTAGTAATCCAGTTGTTAAGTGAAGTTGAGTGGCTTTGCTTGGCAGAAGGTTGCAAAGGTGACCTTGGAATACAGCCAAGGTCATAAGTATGAACCAGTTGCCAAGCATCTGAATTTTGATCACATGATCGTGGGAAAGCTGCGAAGGTCGTAACTGTGAAAAACGGTCCTAAGTCACATTTTTCAGTGCTGTTTGTAGCTTTGAACGGTCACTAAACAAATTGTTGTAAGTCGAGGACTACCACTGTGGTACTACTATTACTCTTCTAAATCCAACTAACCTCCATTCTTTTCTTAGCCCACTTTCTAATCTTTTCTCGGTCCCGCTGAGCCTAAAAAGCTGTAGCGCCTCTGAGATTTGTGACAGGAACTTCCTACCCGTGGCGATGCCTGCTTGAGAAAGCTGTGCTCGGGTGAATAACTTTTCATCCTTAAGCTTTGAAACCAGACAGGCCATAAGGTAGAAACGGAGAAGAATAATAGCTGGGGAAGGTTTTAGGGAGGGAGAGTGGAGCCGGGAGGGAGACTCCCGAGCCCTGCAGGAAGGCATGAATTCTCCTCTGGCCTTCGTAGGTTCAGGTTCCCTGACTCAATCAATCAGCATGGGAGAAAGAAAACTATACTCTTTTATTGGTGACTCTAAATGCATCAGGAGATTCCAAAATCAC